TGGGCATGAGTAACAAAACCTCTACTAAATGCAGTTTGGCAATGACTATAAAAAGTTTAAATCACATACTTTTTAACACAGCAATCCCATTTCCAGGAAATTATCATATGGATATATTCACACACCTAATAAACATATAAGGACATTTGTTGCAATGTTGTTTGATTGCAAAAGACTGAAATTCACCTCAAAAAGGAATTGGTTAAATTATACTTTGCCCATTACAGTGGAACTCTGTGCAGTCATTAGAAAAAATGAGGAAGATCTATGTGTCTTGAAGTGGAAAGAACAAGTTAAAAAAATTAAGGTGTAGAATAACATAGTATCATTTGTGCTTAAAATATACACACACATGTGCACAGACTCTCTCCCTAGAAGGACACACAAGCTGCTGGGAATAGGAGGTGCCTCTGTGGAGAGAAACTAGACCACCATGAAATGGGGATAAAAGGAAAATTTGTGTCTCCATTTGTAACTTTTAAATTTTGTGTTTTTGCTTGCAGTATCTATTCAGAGATAATATTCTAAGTAGATAGATAAGTAAATGAAATTTAAAATGTCAGGCAAAGATATACAATATTAGAATACATAAATGTCCAGGCAAAGATATACTATATTAGAAATGTAAATGGAAGGCCGTTCTTCTTGACTTAGAGAAAAATCTAATTTGGGAGATTCTGAGTTTACAAAATTGGGGAAGCTAACGATTCTCCCAGCTGTCCTGATCGCTACCACCTTTTCTGCAGCTCTGCACTCCATTCCCTTTCCCTCTTCTGGTGACAGTGATGTCTCTCTTTACATGTGCTGTGGCTGCTGCCCAGCAGTCCCCCGAGCTCTCTGCCATCTCTGTAGCCATCTATTTGCTTCCCAACTATTCCAGCCCTTGCCTGCCAGCTGTGGAGCCACTAAACCCTCAGCACACCAAAAGCAACGGTCTGTGAGGGCCCAGGTCTTGGCGAGTGAAGTGCCAACCTAGTTTTCAGTACAGGGTTTCAGCAACACTCTACTTTCACAGACCCTGCCTTAACCGCAGCAATCTCATTTCCAGGAATTTATCCTATGGAGATCTTCTGGTGAAACATATCCTATCTTTAAGTCACTTCTAAACCTTTGTTGTCAAGACTGTGGTTTTAAAAATGATGATCAGGGATTTTTTTAAATGACAGTGTGTGTAAAACTACCCACACCTGTACTACCATAAGGAAGGTTAGTGGCATATTTTTTATGCCTTAGTTTAGACTAATATAACATGAAGGTAGATTCAAACACAGGGAATCATCACTGTAATTAGAAAGGAACATTGCTTCCTGGACTGAACCACTGTGAGGCACTTGTTTTCATTCACCTGAGAGGCACCTTAATCATAGCTTCTGCCCAGAAGCTATGTATTTACCTGGATTTTCATGTGATGATGCCTGAATACGATACATTCTCAGCAGGAAGGGCAAAGGGCCAGGGACACTGAGAGAACAAGAGAAAGGAGTGTTGAGTTTACCTTAAACTCAGAGAGACTGTCTCCAGGAGGAATGATAGTAGACTTCAAAGAGGAATTCTAATTCTGAAAAATTGTGAAATCCAAATTTAAGTTGTCATGAGACTAATGAGGTGTGGAAGGTGACAAATACTGGACTGTTGATAGGGATTGTACAATCTGTTTTTTATTTATAGATTGTGTAACAGCGTGTGGCAGTGTTTTATTTAAGCCAGCTTTTCCTAGCTGGTAATAAAAATGCTGTTCCATAATAGGTGAAGTCAGGCTTAGTTGTGTAAGGATGACTGTCTCACTGCTCTGAAATTCCTACCGAAAAGCTTTCAGGGCCCATAACTGATGCTTAAATTGGGTTGGAGATGGGAGCAGAAATAACCTGCCAAGAACAAGTGAAGGTTGATGTGTGTTTCCAGCATCTCCACTGCTTCTGTGGATACTGCAGCTGTCAGCTCACTTATCTGTGTCACCCACGAAGCTCTGAGCAGAGACTGTTCCAATAAATATTTGTTGAAAGAGGATTGTTTTTTTTTTGTTTGTTTATTTTTTCAATTGACTCTTAGTCAATGTCCCTGAAAGAGTTTTGTCTTCTTATTTAAAAAAAAAAAAAACCTGATTTCCTTATCATGATTTAAATGAAACCTATTCAGCTTCATTGATGGTGACTTTAAAGTTACTAAGAGGCCTTGAGGAAGCATTCCGTTTCCCCTCCCACACTACTCACTCAAACATAGGCACGTCTCTGCTGTTTAGATTCTACATAGTTTCAGTCTGCTGCTGACAGGGCCTCCAAAGTAAGGGGCGCTTGCAGGAATAATCTTGCCTGTGCTTGCTTGAGCTTACAGCATCTTTAAGTAAACAAAAAACCTAAAATTGAGTTGGCCCATACATGAATTTCACTTCCTCTTTCAGGCACTAGGTAATTAATCCAACATGAATACATAAATGACCACTATGAGCAAAATGTGGAGCCGGAAGCTGTGGAAAAAAACAGAATTCCCTGACTTTAAGGAAATTAGTAGCCAGATATCTAAGAAGTTTGGGAGAAAAGTTAATGGTACAAGGCAATAATTGGTTAGGTGTCTACTGAGTTATAAAACCAGCAGCAGCAGAGAGGAGACCAGGTGGGAAGGAAGCCTTTGTGGATGTGCCCCCTGGGTAGGGCTGTCAGGGAAAGAACCAGTGCCGAGGACCAAGCACAAGTTTAAGAAACGGTGGGGTGGACCTTATCTAGAAAGAGGCTATTTGAACTTTAGCATACCTGTATGTTCGGTCATTGAAAGAACTTGTTTGGGTAGGACGATATAGAGGCATTCACTGTAATCTTCCCAGTGCTATGCTAGTCCTGAAACAGGACTGCCACGTGTGATTGAGCTCTTAGTACCCTACACTGCACAAAAATGCCTGATCAAGAAGGGTCAAGGTCGGGGAAGGGCTGAAATCCAGCCTGAACTTTGCTGCCTTTGCACCTTGATGCTGGGCTATACTTGCCCAGAGAGAGGGGCGACTTATCGCTGCCAGGCCATTTGTCAGTAGGGCTACCTCCAAACAGCAGGATACCTTTTTCTGAGTGGTTCTTAGCAGGAGTGGCTCTATGTACACAAAGGTGCTGTTCATGACAGCTACGGCTCTGCCTCTAAGTCTTAATCTGATCCTGCATAAAATTCAGTAAATATGTGAATGAATGCCAAAATGGATTATCGAAGTTCCACAATCTCCCTACTAAAAGAGGGCTTCTCAAGTAGATTTCTGCTGGATGCATTTGAAGAGTGGGAGTAATGTGTGTGTCTTGGGGGTAGAGAAAAAAGGCACAGATAGGCTCTAAGGCCCCTTAATTGTTCTAAAATTCCTTGAGTCTATAAATAAAACTTGGTGCTAAGTTTAAATAAAGTCCAGTTGCTTTATTATAAATCAAAGCAGTGTTTTCCTAAAAATGTTTCAAGGCTTTCCATATACCTTTTGTCACACAAGTCAAGTAAGTTATGGGCTGAGCTCTTTAAAAGTACTTAGAGAAGAACCAAAATAGTAGAAGGTTGGACCTCTGTCCTCAGATATTTATCTACTTATGCAAAGAGCAATGCAAACTACAAAATGAGAGCATCAACCATTTATAGGAATTATTAGTTAGCCACCCTCATCAGATATACTCGGTGCTGTCCTTGACACCACAGTAGGACTCATAGTGAGGGCTGCCATTTCCACACACCGTGAGAGGTGATAAGCGAGCAACCAGAAAGCTCACACTGACCAATGACATTGCCTGCCTGTGCAGCCATATGCAGGTGAAAATACCAAATAGGTGGTGAATTAGTATTAAAATGAGCTGATCTGTCATAACAATGCCTTCTTAACATGCCACACTTTATGCCGTCACCCTGCAGTTCTCACCTCCTCAGAAGTATGTTTTGTGAGTTCTTTGCTGCCCAGGCTGACATCAGAGGTCTGCTCCCTGTATAACACCCATGCTCTGTTTGAACATTCCTTTCTCTACCGCTTCCCCAATAGAAATGGTTTCCCCTGGTCTCCAAGAGGTCTCCAAGAGGTCTTCAGCCACCAACCAAGGAAGTTCACTTCTGTTTCCATCTACCAAGTTGGTCATTTGTTAGCTGTTCAGTGTGCAAACCCTCTCGACTTACCTTCCCCTCTGCTGCCCTCTGCTCTCTGTTTTACCAGACCTAGTTTTTCCAAGGCTTATTGATCACAACTATATACCAGCACTATCCTAAACCCTGTGGTTAGTATAAACCTGAATAAGATTTCCACTTCTCCCTAGAGCTTTCACAGTGAAGAGCTAACAAGGGGGATAAATATGGATGGGTGGGTAGGTTGGGAGGATGGGGGAAGGGATGGAGGGACAGGAAGGAGAGACTACACAAAGACGGACAGAACTGAGTTTGACTCCCAATAAGATAAGTTCTAGCTCTGTGAACTTTGGCAAGATATTCAATTACAGTCTCAGATTCTTCATCTATAAAATGATGTAAAAATTCCTACTAGCCTGGGTGGTTGTAAAGATTAGAGACTAAATGGCTTAGGGAAGCGCTTGGTTAAAACAGCCACCACCCAAAATGGGACCCACATAATTACAACAAAGGTGATAAGTGACATAAGAGAAGAGCAAACAAAGGGTGGTGTGTGTTCCCAGCAGGAAGGATCACACCTGCAGAAGGCCACATGTGATCATGAGCTTGCAGGGACCCTCCCAGCCTCCAGATGATCTGCTGCCCAGCACACACCTGGGCAGGGCAGAGCTGGGCAGCACAGGGCCACAGGCACAGACAGGAGTGCCCATGTAGTCAAGCAGGTGTGACCTACAGCTACTGCCCTGGAGGCACCAGGAGAGGGGTTAGAATAAGAATTGGGAACAGGCACAGCTGTCAGAGTTGATGAGAGTGTGCCTGTTGTGGGGATTGAAGACCATTCCACTCTCCAGAAAGCAAAGTTACTTCGTTGTTTTTCCTTCATCCTGCCTCTGGATGTCTAAGCTGAGACATTTTTCTTCTCTCTTCTCCAGCTCAGAGGCTGAGAATGGTGTGGAGGAGAAAAAGAAAGTCTGCAGGTCACCAACAGCCCAGTCCCCTACTCCCTCCGTGGAGGCCGAGTCCCCAGACCAGAAGAGAATCATTTGTTTGCGGTGAGTCCTCAGTTTACTTTTTTTCTCTGCCTGCTTGGGAGGAGCAGATGTTTCTGGTATTATGGTCATCGTTAAGTGCGAGGATCTACTCTTGGCAGATAAAAGCCTTGAGAAAGAATGGAGCACTTTTCCTTGATACCCTGGCACTGGCGCTTGACTTCCTCTCTCATCTCTTCCTAACGGCGTCTGTCTGTCCTTCCTGCCCCAGCCTTGTACAGAACATCTGCACCTTTCTGAAAGCACTGTCTTTGCTGACTCATGAGGCTGGGGTGGCTGGCCAGGGTGGAGTGTCCACTCAGCCTCTGGGTGTGCACACCTGGCATCTCACTTGCCTGGGGATCATGGACAAGAGCAGAGGAGAAGCCCCGTCAGGGCATCCACTGTGCAGCTGGTTTCCTGTGGCTGGGACTGTGAGGGGAGAGGTGGTTTTGAGTATGTGGCTGTCATCCCCATCACCTTCAGGGGCACCAACCACCAAGTGGGAACTTAAAGTTCCTTTTGAGCCCTTAAAAGAGTGGTCAACCAATGGTCAGTGATGGGTATCTGTTTTTTTTATCTGGACCGAGTAGAGAAGTGAGAGCTCTCCTTCCCGGCCACTAGAACTGTCAGAGCTGCTACCTTCTTCATTTGGCCTCTGCTAAGGGATGATTCAATAACTCCTGCTTTTGGCTTCCTTTCTGTGTCCCCAGCCCATATCTTCTCTCCAAATCTATACTTCAGTCAGAACCAAGCATCTTAACTCTTCCCCTGAATTTTCTCTCTTGACTCTAAATAATTTCCAGTTATTCTAATTATCTCTTCACCTTTTCTGCATGCCTGTTTTGTGGCATACCACTTTTAACCATTTTTTTTCTATCGGTTCCCATCAGAGCATTCTGCCTCAGCTTACCAAGTGATCCTCCTCACAAAGGCCCAAAGCATATTGTGTCTTGTATCTCTCACCACTGTTGAGTGGCTACAGCAGGCACCTTAAAAACACTGTTGGTTTCACTCCAGTTTCCCCAGGCTTCAGATGAGAAGAACACACTCATCAACTGCGCTTGGTTTAATGCTCTGCTCTCGCTGCCTGGAAATTCTTTTTTTGTTTGTTTTTTGCAATTGGCCTGTACAGGGATCAAACCCTGGACCTTGGTGTTATCAGCACTATGCTCTAACCAACTGAGCTAACCAGTCAGCCCCTTAGAAATTCTTAATAATTTTTGTTTAAGGGACCCCGCATTTTCATTTTGCACTGGGCTTCCGGTCCTGATCATAGTCACCTGTAGGAAGTGAGAATAACACAGTTGAGAAGACCCAAAGAAATCAATACTATATAAATAAGCACCCAGTCCACAGAGGTCTGCCAGGCAGATGAGCCCCTTTACTGCCTCCACCTTCTGAAATTATCAAGGGTTGAGCTGCCCTGCTTGTCAAATTTGCTTACAGCCTGTAGTTCTTCAAAAGGTCTGACTATTTCTTTGGCAATTCCATTAACATTTATTAACTTGAATCAGTAGAGGTGATAAATTCAAATTAGTGAATTGTATAAATAAAAGGTAATTTGACATTTGTAAAAATAATTTTATTTTCAAGTAGAATACAAATGTTTACTCACAGTTTACCAAAAAATTAATTCCTAGAATTCCAAGGGAATTTACAGCTGTGAACAGGTTCAATGGCCTGTAGCTGAAGTCAAATCCATTTACCTTGAATTGCTGAGAGGTATTTTACCTGTGAATTTGAGTCCTGTGACATTACATAGTTCATCTTGTCACTGCTTTGAAAACTGGAGCCTAATGTCTCTCTAACTTCAGTCATTTCTGTTCCTCTGTCACACCTCTATACCACCTGAGTTATTTTAGATTCTTCTTAAATCTGCCTTGAACAAAATTTTTTAATGGAGCCTCATTCTAAGGAATAATATTGGGAATAATATTGTGAAATCATGGAATTCCTGTATCATTTCCCCCAATAAACAATAAAACAATTATATAATTGTAAAACTTAACCTCATGTATACTTTAAAAAATCATGCATGCATTCCACTTTGAAATGACTGTTTTTAGCTGCAGCGTTAAAGACACAAATGCACACAACCTCTAAAATGGAGAGTCAGGGCTCGAATCACCTTAGGAAGAAATCATCCTGGAGCTCTACCTCTGCCCTTAACAGGACAAAGGAGAACTTGACTTCAAATATGTTCTTTTTTTTTTTTTTTTCTGATTTCACTTTTGCTATTTTCCCAATTTGGGATGTTTTATCTCTCTTTTCATCATACCTAATCCTGCTCATCCTATTGGGGCCCAGCATATTAAACCCACATTGTTCTGATGGTCTCCTCTTCTCTTACCTCCTAATAGACTTACTGTCTCTGTACCTTTTTCTTACTGCTATGACATCTATTGTTTTGGTGCTAAATCATGTACTGCCTTTTTAAAAAAATGTTTGGTGTGTGTGTGTGCACAGGCTCCTTAAGGATAGAAAATGTGTGCCCCAAGGCATTTAACACAATGCCCCTTTCAATTAATATTTGTTGAATATTGATAGAATTCTGAAACAAAAATATTCTTTCATTGAGCTATAGCTGCAATTTGTTTAATAATTTGCCTCAAGTACTCTTCTTTATACTGATTAAAATACTTCTGAAATGATGTAATGACTTTCACATCTTGAATGTTATTTCTCTCTTCATAAGTTGCCATTTCTGCAGTTTGTGATTGCAGCCTAGTGTAATCATCCTACTCTCCTAAAATACATGCTGTGTAAATGCCCTTAGAGCATCATGAGTGATCATTGATATGTAGAAAAGAAAACAAATGTCAGTTTTTCTCATGAGATGATATAATAATTGAGATTTATTATAATAAATTAATGAGTGGCACAAAAAATTCATCTTATATACTCCCTGGATTTCCTTTCTCCAGGTCAAAATCCAGTTTCGAAGGTACCTCTTTAGGTGATAAGAATGACTGTAAAGCAGAAAGCAAAAATGACTCTAAGACTGAAAGGAAAAAGTCTTCGTCTTCCAGCCAGGTAATTTGAGAACGGACTGTGTATTGTCTCAGAGAGTGACAGGACTGTTAAAGCCAATGAAAAGAAGGAACCTTAGTGTGCAGCTTTCTGCTGGTCAGGACTAATGTAGGCAGAGAGTTTAGAGAATCTGGAAGAACAGGCCAGTGGCAGTCCCTCCAGTCAATTTTTCATCAACACTATATTCCACAGCTGACCTTTCAACACATACTGAGGGGTGGTGAGTTTCCTGCTGTGGCTGCTAACGCTGACAAACAGCCAGAGAGTAGGGACCAACATAGAGTCATGTGCTTGTCTAATGATTAGTAGGACAAGGGGAAGTGTGACACCCTTGCCATAAAATTGAAGAGTCTGATAAGGCAACTGCCTGTATAGAAGGTCACCCAGGTGCACAGAGAGCAAGACCTGTGAGCAGGGTCATGATTCTCCTCCAGAAGTGATTTTGGTTCTGCTCTAAAATATACCCAGATAGGTAACAAAGCCCAGTTATGTTTGTGACCCATTTACGGGGGCCAGGAGTGGGAGGCTTTTTGTGATACTTTACCCCTAAATACTTGAATATGTGTCTCCTAAGAACTAAAAGAAAAAACTATTGGCACAACCAAGAAATTTAAGTATTAAGTACATAAAAATATTATCAATATAAAATTCACTTCAAATTTCCACAGCTGTCCCAGCTATGAATGTCCATTGTGAAGGTTTTTCTTTTCCCCTCTCCAGGATCCAATCAAGAGTCACATACTGCATTCATTTGCTATGTTGCTTTTAATTTAGATCAGTCCTGCTACCTTTTTGTGCACGTGTGCAACAATGTTCACTCTAGCCATTAAAAACAAAAACTCAGTGAAGCCGGCATAGGACACATAGCTTTAATCAAGGTGTGTTTCTGGATGCAAAGTGTTCTCCTAGGAACCAACAAGAGGTAATTTATACAAAGTGTTTGCAAAATAGCTGACTTGCAGGGACCATCTATCATCTTGATGACCTGGCCTGTATCTCTTCTTTATGGCAATAATATGGCCAGTTTCGCCATGGAGACCACTGCTGGTTTGAATAATAAGCCCTCAAGGGCCTACCTGTGCTTGTCTCTCTCCTCATAAGACTTTTGGTTCCAAAGCATCACATGAGGCAGAGTGATCCTGTGGAGGGAGGACCCAGTTCTACCTCTAAATAGCTCTGTAGTGCAGGTTACATCACACAGGATCCCTGAGTGTCCCAAACCTCAGAATGGGGATGCCAGGTGTCTAGGGTTATTGTGAGAATGATGTTTGTGAAAGCGTTTTACAAACTGTATATTGCTGGCTGTACGTTGCTGTTGTCACAGTTGTGAAAACAGATGTCTGGAAAATGAAGCGATGTGCAGCATGTCAGACTTTCGGGCCTTCCACTGCCCTGAGAGTAAAGTCTTGTATGAAATCCTACTTGTGTTAATGGTAGTCTCCCCCTGTCCTGCCCCTAACAAAGGAAATGCCTTCACAACAATAACAGTAATAGTGACCATACGTTGTCCCAGGCAGTAGGTCCCTTAGATGTATTATCCCATTTAAGTCTCATGGTGTCCCTCTGAGCAGGTACTGTTTTGGTCATCTGGCACAGAAGACAAAACTGAGGCCCAGGGAGGTTAAGAGATGAGGCCATGGTCAAACACCAAGAAAAAGGCAGAGCCAAGGCATAAACTAAGGTTTATCTGACCACAAAGCATTTAACCACTGGACTCTTCTGAGAGTTCCCATTTATATGTTTAGTGCCCTGGGATCCAGTACCTTCCTTAGTGAGATTCCTTAGAATTTCATCTCATTTCTTATCAGGGACATCTTTTTCCAGCCCTTTGCCTGGGCAGAAGTCTGACCACCAGCTGCTTTTTATGTCCAACCAGCAAGGCAGGAATCTAGGTAGAAAATGAAACATTTGTGCCCTGACTTTTCACATTGGACTTTCATACTGGAGACTATAAGATCAGAGAGAATGAATTCCTAAAGTTAGTATTTAGGAAGGGGTATTTTTTTTACTTAACTTAAATTGAAGTTAAAATTTGCGATGTTTCACAAAAAAGCGAGAGCAGTGATGGCTGTATTTTGTTCTCGTTGCAGTATAAGGCAAACATGCACTTTCACAAGTTGTTTCTTGATGTCCCGACTGAGGAACCACTGAAACAAAGTAAGTTCTGACCTTTTTGACTTTTGAAGCTGCATATTTGAAAAGTTGCTAATTCGTTTCGGGGGAGAGAAAAGGCACATTCCGGGGACTGAGTCACCAGGAGGAATAGGTTTCTGAAAGTCATGACATAACAAGAATTTCAGCTTCAGCTGGTGTTCACCAAGCACCTTGAAAGATAAAAGAGTAGAATGAGGAACTGAATTTCCATGTGATATGGAATCATCCAAGGTGGTTCCAGAATGATATCCTTGACTTCTCTATTTATTGCTAAAATGCACGTGGTCTAATCATCCTGAGATTTAGGATAAGATAACAAGCCTGGGGCAAGCGAGGCTAACAAGAAACACAAACCTAAGTGGACAGATGTGTTAACACCTGCACTGTGCAGGGTGCGGCGATCACACCTACGCATCTTGCCCACATGCCAGTTCAGCACCTACTCTGCTGTGCAGTGGCTCATCACCAGGGATCTGCTCTCGCTTCTCTGCGTACAAATGTTGATTTCTGCTGTGATCTCCAAACTGGAGATATGAGTCACAGCTCTTCTCCCAGCCCCAGCGAGACCGTCTTTTTCAAAAACAGTCACGGGCCGGCCCGGTGGCGCACTGCTACAGTGTGCCGCTTGGGAGTGCGGCGGTGCTCCTGCTGAGGGTTCGGATCCCACATACAGACTAGCCGCTCACTGGCTGAGCGAGGTGCGGGAGCAACACCAAAGGTTGCGATCCTGTTGCCGGTCCCGGTCCGGTACGGGCACGACACTGAGGGTTGCGATCCGTTGCCGGTCACGAAAAAAGACAAAAAAGGAAAAAAAAAAAAAAAAACAGTCACTAGTGAGAATCCCCAGGAAGAGGAATCAGAAAGGCCAACATTGGCACATGGTGATAGACCCACCTAAATAGAGAAGATTTTTGAAACATTCTTGGTCTCTGATGTGCAATAGTAAATTTGCCTTTCCCCTTGATTCTTATACTAAAGTCTGTTTGACTTTTAATTAAAAATAAACTGTAGTCACTGCATCTTTATTCCACTAAAGATGACTGAAAAAGAGTACAAATGTATTATCTCTGCCCATCCCTGAATCCTCAAAATATCTACACAATTTTTATTTTAATTAAAATGGAAATTCTAAATGATGCTATATTTGTATATATTTTCCCAGGCTTTACCTGTGCCCTACAGAAAGAAATACTATACCAAGGAAAGCTCTTTGTATCAGAAAACTGGATTTGTTTTCATTCCAAGGTCTTTGGAAAAGACACAAAGGTTGGTGTGATAAAAAAAAAAAAAAAAAAACTGACCCTGTACTTTATTATTATATATTGTGAATATTAATTGTTTTAAGTTTAGTGATATTTATGAATATCTGTATCATGATTATGATACAAACTTGGCCTTTATGCCAAGTTTCCTTTGTTGTAGTTCCAAATACTATAGGTTCTAAATGCTTCCAGATGAAACTAACTTCTCTTTTTCCCCCAAACACCATTCTCTCACTCATTTCCTTATCCACATAAATAGACCTCTCCCACAAACACACCCTAAATCCTTTTACCCAGATGTCACCAGAGAATACTCAAGTTATTCATATAGAGAGTGCCATAATTTGTTTCAAAGATATTCATTAAATCCAAAACAGTTATTTTAAGAAATATGAATTTATGCACCATATTCATGCCAGTTACCATCATAAGCTACTTCTTAGAACTCACCTTGTACTCTCAGCAGCACAAAATGAGCAGGAATTGGAGCAGTTAATGCCTAGTCTGGGAAGGTACATACCTACAATCCCGAGTGTACTCTGATACTACATCTTTTTGTTCTCATTAAACACAGATTTGGGGGAGCAGAGGCATGTGACACCCTGAACCAAGGAGAATAGCCTGAAGGGATTAGCAGTTTGCCCAAGGCACCACCTTCTAAAAATGAGGACCTTGGGACTGGCATAAGAAGGGAAAAGACTGATAACACCAAGGTCCAGGGTTCGAGTCACCATTCCATCCAGCCACCCCCCCTCAAAAAAAAAAAAGGGAAAAGATAATTCCATCCGCCTGACATTCTTTACCTTTGAGCTATCATGTCACATCTCTGTTCATTCAGGCCGCCAATATAAGAAGTCAGACAAACGCCTTCTTGGGTTTGTGTGACCTCAATGATTTTTTAATCATTCTGATTCATGATGATGAATCGGCAGGTTTTATGCTCATGAAGTAATTGATTGAAAACCTTTTGTTTTGAGTGATAGATATGCTTTATTTAAATATTCTCCCTAAAGCCACTGGCAATTGTATAAAGGCCACTTAACACATATTGTGGAAGTTTTTTATTTTGTTGGTGTTGGGCCTACAGACAAGCATACTATTCTTTAGGTAAAACATGATATTTTTGTACTGTTTCTCTGTTATATAGAGGTATGTTGAGATAAAAATATTTTGATTCACAGTATTATCTGAATCAGTATAATGCAAAGCAATCTTAGGCAGTATTCAATGGTATTTCTAGATTTCTGGATTATAGAGCTTGTTCATGAAGTGGGGAAGAGGATTGGGTAGTACTACTGATTAATGTGGGAAGGCTAGTTCTCAAGAATTCAGAGACAGCCAGCGTCTATAAGCAAAGCTGAGCAGGGGTTGAAGATATTCATGAACAAGTATTTAGTCTTTGTTAAGGGATGGGGCATTCACAAAGGCAGTAAGTGCAGTTTCAAGCTAATACGATTCTTACAATGGCTCTAAAATCCTACTTCTACCTCAGAGAGAAATGACAAGAAAAAGTTAAAAGGAGCGACCCTGATTTTTTAAAGACATGGGCACACTGGGATTGCTTTTGCATGTGCTGCTGTGTCTAACCTACAGAGGCAGGAGATTGAAGTTTAGCAGGGGGTAGGAGTAAGAACCATGATAGTGACTTGTATGTTTCTTCCCCTCAAAGGATGATATCAAAAGAGATTTGGGCTTCAGAGATTGCAGAATTTTCTCACTGCCAACAGACCTCGGTCTAACATGATCCAATATGAACTGAAAACACTCTAAGAATTTGCTCCAGGAAGGGGAACTTTCTGAGAACCTTACCCTGTGATAATAAAGTAAAGCTTTAATTTAATCAGGACCTATTTAGTCAGTCTGTCGGTATTTTCAGATGCTAGTAAAATTAACATGCATGAATCACATTCCACCTAGGTTCAAACTGAAAAGTGATTTAAACTTTATTTCATAAATCTTATCTAGTTGTAATTTTTACACATGAAGCAATTGAAAAACTCCTCCTTAAGGGTGTTCTATGCCTTAGATTATGAAAAATCTACATTTATAGCTCCTTGTCACTGTGTGTTCATGTTCCTACTCAGAAACAAAATTAGACTCATTGATATCAGCTTTTATCTCAGTAGAACTTAAATTCTTTTTTCTATAGTTATCCTAACTTATAACTTGGGAATTATCTCCTACCCTTAAAAATTTTTGTGGGTAAAATTCTTTGGCAAAATAGTTTTTAGAAAATGTCTAGTTGGCTTAGCCCCTCATTCTTCCATAGTCTTGCTGTCTGGAACTTTACGGGGCTATAAATAACCCCATCTCATAAACCCAAATGTGGATGCAAATATTCAAAATTAAAAGCTTGTTTTTCTTCCTTCAAGCCTGCAGTACTAACATAAGGCCCCCCTCTGCCCCCCTGACCTTACGGATCTCTTTCAGAATATGTAAAGCATTTTACAAAATAAACATTCATCTTATTTTTAGCATTTCTATGTGTGACAGAAATGTGTGTGTGTGACAGTTATTGCTGTTCTTATTCTTTATTGAACTAGAAAATAACTTAGCGTTCTTTTATTTCACCCATCCTGATTTCATAAGGCAAGTAAAGAAATTAATGAAATTTTTATTTGCTCCTGGGCATTTTCCATGTATTATTTCATTTAATACATAAAATAGCCTGAGAAGTGGATAAGACTATCTCTAATTTATAAATCGGGAAACTGAGGCCTAGAATGGATAACTCATAAAGTCATGTAGATAGTGACATAGCTGAGCTGAGAATTCAGATCTCAGACTTTCTGTCCAATGATGGTTATACCACACCAGTGCTTTTTAACATTTTCCCCAACCCAACCACATGCACCTAGAAACAGGAGAGCGGGGCATGTGGAGGTCAGCCCAAAGTGAATGACCACGAGCTTGAAACTTCTTTAGAGCCTTGGGCTCATCTTTAAAATGAATGTAAATTTTGCATACTCTTCCCCTGTCTGAGGATAAAGGTTTCCCACCAAGACCTTCAGTAGAATTGATGATCCTGATTTATCCTTTGACTTTATAAACACCATTTTGAGGAGCTCAGTGGCATACCCCACACCTCTCTTTAAGATTCACTTTTCTTCATGGAGGCTGAAGAGCTTGCTGCTGGTTTTAATTGGGTTTTTTTTGTTTTTCTTTAACGTGAAGATTTGAAGTGCTATTCTGTGAAGTCTGAACCAGTGTTAACTCAGCGATTCTGTTTCAGATCTCTATTCCAGCTTTCTCAGTAACCCTTATAAAGAAAACCAAAACCGCTCTACTGGTGCCAAACGCCCTGATTATAGCGACGGTCACAGACAGGGTGAGTACACAGCAGAGTGAGGGCACCTTTGCTTCGTCCTTCTGCTCTGGGCTCTGTTGCTCTCGGGGCCTCTTGCCAAGGCCCAAGACCCTGAACCATAAATGTCACCGTCTCCTATAATGAATCAGGAGCTATTCTATAAAGACTAATTGTAAAAATTATAGCCTGTAGACATTTATGTAGTGTTGTTCCCCTCACAAGGTGATGTATTCTAATTGTTGCCAATTTCGAATTTCCTGCTGACTTAATTATACTTGCCTGACCAAGGTCAAAAAAATAAAATTCTTTCCCAACTTCCCTTTCCCTAACATCTGTTAGGTCAGACTAAACTGATATATTCAGTTCCTTTAATATTATTAAAAAACAAAACAAATAAGAACAACATCCTTGCTGACAGGGTGAGACAGGGTGAGACTGAGTCTTCTTGGGGTGGGGGCAGCCAGAGCAGAGAAAGTGGACCCTAAGGAATTGTTAAATACCTTTAAAAACAAAAACAGAGGAGGAGAGATGTTTAAAGAGGATGTAGCAAATATCACTAGCCTTTCTTTACTGCGCAGGCCTTTTTCTGTCTGTCCTTGTTTGGGGCACCAATATCAGGTTTTGAAGCCTTCATTTTGCCCTGCATTTCTTTATTACTGTTAAATTGGATTTAGGGGTTTTGTTGCTACTGTGGGAGAATATATTTGCTTTATTCCAGGAATGGAATAAAAATAGAATGTCTGGGTGAGAGGAGTGAGAATATAGAGCAGAGAATGGTCTGCACTGTTTGAAAATGAAAATCTATATACGGATACTTTTTTGAACTCTGAACGCTTCACTTCTCGTCAGCTAGTATCTCTTCATTATTCTGTTTTGTTTTTCAGTACATATTTGTCTCCTTACTGTCCAGAGATTCAACTTACAAACTATTAAAATCTGTGTGTGGACACTTAGAAGTAAGTATAACATCCCCGAGCCTCTGTTACTCTCTCTTCTGTTTTTCTTATGGTTTCGTAGTTGATCTGGTTTCTCATTTTGTTCCAATAATTTCAGAATACAAGTGTTGGTAACAGTCCCAATCCATCTTCTGCTGAAAACAGTTTCCGGGCAGACCGACCTTCATCTCTGCCTCTAGTAAGTTGCCTACGTAACTATCTAAATACAAAAGAAAGGGATTATGTCCCACAATTAGACTTGCGCTTACACCATGACCAAGATGCAGGAGGAACTTAGGACCAGAATATGAGGCATAGTTTAAGAAACAGGGTATATGTATACTAAAGAAGAGAGAACCATAGTAGGTCATAAATATTTTTCAAATAATTGAAGGGTTGTCCTGCAAAAAAATAAGAATGAACATGGTAGTAGGCTGTCTTGATGAGTTCCTGGTCATTGAAGGTATTTATAGAGTCTTTCTCTGTTTGCTTCTCAATATTGTTTTAGAGCAACTCACAAATCTATCTGAGGTAGGTCATGAGTCATCCCACAAAATCATTGAATGTCTTCTATAGTCAAGGCACCACCGTGTTAGTGTATACTGTAGGATACAAGGAAAAGTCAAAACTAATTCTTTTCTTCAGAGATTTTACATCTTAGAAAAGACAAGGCATACTCAGAAATAACTGTAAAAAAAAAGAAAGCTAAAAGCACCGATAGAAATTGTTTGATTCCCTTAGACTTTGTTGGTTGTAGGGTAAATCTCCAGTGAGGGGTAGCTTTCCCTGTTTACAGAAGATTTTTACTTAACAATGTTACAATGTTTTCCCAAGAGATTTCTAACCATGTACTTAAAATGATTATTCCCAAATTGATTATTGTCACATACTCACCTTTACTGTAGCAGTATGAGCCCATAGTTTCAACATGTCCTACAAATCTTTGAGAGCTATTAAAAAGTTGTGGGATTGGAAACATGTTCACACAAAAACTTGTACGAGAATGTTCATAGCCGCATTATTCGTAACAGCAAAAAAATGGGGGTGGGAATCCTAATGTCCATCAACTGATGAATGGATTAAAAAAAAAAGTGACATATTCATATAATGGAATATTATTCAGCCATAAAAAGGAAACGATGTACTGATACATGGTACAACATGGATAAACCTTGAAAACATTATGCTAACTGAAAGCCAGACACAAAACACCATGTATTATGATTACATTTATATAAAATATTCCAAATAGGCAAATCCATAAGCACAAAAAGTAAATTAGTCCAGGGAAGAGGGTGAAGGAAAAATGAGGAGTGACTGCTAATGGGCACAGGGTATCTTTTTGGAGTGATGGAAATATTCTAGAATAATATAGTGGTGATAGCTGGACAACAAAATTGGGAATATTCTAAAACCACTGAATTATACACTTTTATTTCTTTTATATGAATTTTGTCTCAATTTAAATCTATCTTTAAAAAAAAGTAGTGGGAAGCAGTACAAGATAATTAAACACATATGATTTAGAGTCCAACAAACTTGGTTTCAAATCTGGGCTCAACCCTGCTGTGTAATGTCATCGGGCAAGCTCTTTAACTGCTCTGACTCAGTTTCTTCACCCATTAAAATGCCAGCCTCACTGTGTGGCTATAAAGATGAAATGCAATTATATATGTAAGAAGCTTTGCATACTGCCTGATGCATGATAGGCATTCAATAAATCATTATTAAATAGAAGAGATTTGAATTTTTCAATTTTCCTTCCCCTATAAATTCTTGTATGAAATTAAAATGAGTGTTGAGATGACTGAAGACAGCTAGAGCCCGTGCCAGGTGAAAGGTTGGCAATTTGCTTACAAGATGAGCCTCTTTTGGCAGCTAACTAAATTGTTAAAGCTCAGCTTAATTATACCTCTGCCAGAACATTTTAATGACACCACTTGTCTCTTCAGTTCATAAGCTCTTCAGGGGAACCAATGGAATACAAACTAAAACATCTTTGATTTTTCCCTTACTTCTCTCTCATCTTTTTGTAATTTAAATGTTATATCACTGACCCTATTTTCATTTAATTGAGGGAATAAAAAAAGCTGAAACTTTCTTTTCAGGTCTAATTTCCTAAAACTATTTTCCCTTTTCTGTTTCTAATACTTTTTTTTAAAACAATAATTTAGTAATACCTTTCTCTCTGTCTACATATTCAAACTTGGATTTAGAGCATTCTGAGATTTCTCCAGCTTCGCACTGGGAGCTTTTCAGTCATCAGCATTCCAAGGGTTTTTCTAGACTTTTGTCGTTTCAAACAAGTTGGCCACTGTTTCTTGACAGAATTCCAACTGCTCAGAAAAGTCTCAGTTTCAGTAATCAGATACTCAGTGATCTGTTGGGGAAATCCCAGTAGTGTGGGGTAATCCTTCCTTCTTTTCTGTATTTTATAGGTCAGGCCTAAGTGAAAGGGACAAGGGTTACAAAGACCTGCCTGTTTAATAAGGGAAAATTGGCCTCTCTTCATCTCGTTGTTTCCCCTCAGGACTTCAATGATGAATTCTCAGACCTGGATGGAGTGGTTCAACAAAGAAGGCAAGACATGGAAGGATACAGCAGTTCTGGTTCTCAGACTCCTGAATCTGAGAACTCTCGAGGTCTGGGAAATCATTGTATTTTGAATAAAATTTAATTCCCCATAAAACATCTTTACCCAACCCCCTTAAAAACAACAACAAAAAAAAATTGGGAAGGGAATCTGGGGAAAGGGTAGTTGAATGTTCAAGGGAGTGGAACTACCTATGTGGTAAAAATCCATTTCCTTTTATACACATTTAACAGATGTCTCTTAAATAGACACAATATTGGGGAGGTTGAGAAAGATAAACATATAATATTTTCTTACATCTTATTTCAGTAATATAATTAATTGCTATAGCTGAATCGTTCCTGTGAGTCAGTGGGGTAACGATAGACTGCCTTATATCATTTTATTCTTGCTTAAGTATTGGATTTCAATCCCCAAGTACCTCAACCAACTTGTGAGAAGGTCCATTTATATTCTTGACCTCTGTGCTTATTAAGGGGTTGATTTGCTTTGTGGTTAGCCCTATAGGGGCCAAAGGAAAACTACCCATGAAGCTTTATTAATAAAAATCACTAAAAATTTTAGATCAATATGAAGAAAAGGCATAACATATTTTATTATTTAACATGATGGGAGCAGGTAAAGCACAAGAGAATCACAAAAGAGTAATGTCCCAAATGTCCCAAATTCCGATGGGGATACAAAGCTTATTTACCAGTGTTCATGAGAGAGAAGGTGGGAGGAAGTATAAGCCCCAGAACAATGAATGGCCTGAGACCAGGTTTCTCTGAAGTTCTGGGGGGAGGTGTTGTCACAGATGAAAGAAGGAAGTAAGAAGTTAAAGTAGAGACGTCTCATATACAGATGAAAATACTTCAGGCAATTTCACAGCTGCCCTCAGAAAGAACAGATAGTATCCAAAGGAGGGCTGCCTCAGAGGAAGCCTGGCTGTTGGCATTTACAAATGTTTCTTTCCACAAAGAAACAGCCTAGCTAATTTTGTTTTTCCAGTCTGAGTTAGCCATCTTGAAATATGTCAAAGAAATATATTTTGGGGCCGCAATACTTTGCTTTCCCACAGCTCTGTGTTTTTAAATGGATTGGAAAGAAATCTTACCCACCTCCATTTTGGCTTGGTAGATTTCCATGTGACAGAATCCCAGACAGTTCTGAATGTCTCCAAGGGAGAAGCAAAACCAACTCGGGCAGATGCCCATGTGAACAGAGTGCCTGAAGGAAAAGCCAAGAGTCTCCCTGTACATGGTAAGGATGGATTTTTTCGAGAGGGGTGGAGAGAGATTTCTGTTTGTAGCTTTTAAAGGGTCCCCATGTTTCACTTTGTGATCACCTTTCATGTTTCCTCCCATCCCTTCCTGTGATAGGTTTTTGCATATTAATTCACTTATTCATTCAACAAGCAGTACCCAGTTCTGTGCTTTACTATGGGTGATACAAAGGTGAATAGTTTTCATGGAGGTCACTTCGTTATTCTGAATATGTGAGACTACGATTCAGACATTGCTGGTAAAACTCGAATTGTTGAATTATTTCTGATTTACTAATTATGTTAATTACTGCTGACCAGTTATACTGGTATGAGAGCAAGGATGGTGTTATACTGTGTCCCCCATTGACTCCAACACAATGCTCGACAAAGAGAAGGCTCTCGATAAGTATGTATTGAATGAACCTTGAAGGAATTATAACTAATGGATAAAGTGACATCTGGAAGGCTTCAGTTAATATTTTCTCTGATTTCTTTTATTAGAGATTAATTACTTTCTCAAGTACCTCTTCACATGGGGATATTGCTAAATGAAGGAAGTGTATTATGGTTTTAAACAGTTGCTTTTTGTTGTCCACCCTACAGGTCAGTCAGAAACCATTGAAATCTCACATAAAGTCAAGTCTCAGAAATGTCCAACTCTCCACCATATTCTTATATTCTACGCAGTTGTGTAAGTAAATGAATTTACTGTGAGTGACTCCAGAAAATGACTCAATTCTCCAAAGGAATGATTTCTTCACATTGCCAAGAGCCACTGTAAATTTCAATTGTCTCTAAGGTGACCCAAATATTTTCTTTGACAAATTCTGTCTTCTACTTCAACATTTTTTTCCTTGGGCTTAGATCACATTTTCCTAATGATTATCCAAATCCAGCAGAGGACTAAATTCTGAGTGGATACTATTAGTTGGGAAATAGTTCTGTGTATTATGAAGCATCTTTATCCTTGTTATTTGTTTTTCCATTTGTCCCATGTCCTCTGGACAGACACCAAAACAACTTTGAAATGTCATTACCTTTACAGAAAACATAGGCATTAACTTTCGTAACTTCCCAATCAGTTTCCAGTCTTGTAACCAGTTGTTCTGAAAATAGCCTGACTCAGTTCTAGGCGGTTCCTCACAACCAAGGAGGATATTCCCAGTCTGCTTTCCTGATAAAGCAAGGAGTTTGTGTGTCTTCAGAGAACGAGGCTGGGCACTCTCTGCCCAGGCTCTTCTAGCAGAGGGAGACACTACCCAGAGGGAAGAGGTGTACTGGCTTGGTCACCCAACTTGGGACTGGCCTTGAATGATCTTGTTGGAATGGACCTTATTTGCAAATTGAGGGCCTTTGGCTAGAGGATTTTAAGTCTCCTTCTGGCTATAAAGTTTTATGACAAACATCAGCCTGTTTTAAAAAGAACTTTTTAAAGTCTCTTTAGCCAAGTTATTTTGGAAAATGTCTTGCATGGAGTGTACAGCATTGGCTCTGAGTTTGTTGTTTGATGAGTATCAGGTCCTAGCCATTAACCTATTGAAAATTTTCTTTTATCCCTTTCAGTGTCTGTGCACTAATCATCTCGACCTTCTACATGAGATACAGAATTAACACTCTGGAGGAGAGGCTGGGGTCACTAACCTCCATTGTGGACACCCATAATACTGAGTAAGACAGTTCCCTCCAGAGCTATCATCTGCTTGCTATTTAGATTAGTGTAATAATTGACCTGAAGCTTAGAATCCTTTTTAGCAAACATTACTTGAGGATACATTCTATATGAGACATTTTGTAAGGTATATGTGGAAAGTAAAAAGATGGGGGGGGTCCTAGAAATGAATGACCTAACCCTGCAGTGTTCTTGAGTTGCTATAGGGTCACCAGTAATATGGAAAGAAACAAGCCTAATTTTGTATGATCATGCTGTACTATCCTAAGATACAGTTGTGACCTTGGCCCATTTATTAAACTGTACAAGTTTATTTTTGTAAAATGACAGCAAGTGAAGACATTCATAGAAAAGAAACAATTCATGGGCCGGCCCGGTGGCGCACTGCTACAGTGCGCCGCTTGGGAAGCACAGCAGCGCTCCCGCCGAGGGTTCGGATCCCACATACAGACCGGCCGCTCACTGGCTGAGCGAGGTGCGGGAGCAACACGGAGGGTTGCGATCCCGTTGCCGGTCCCGGTCCGGTACGGGCGCGACACTGAGGGTTGCGATCCGTTGCCGGTCACGAAAAAAGACAAAAAAAAGGAAAAAAAAAAAAAAGAAAGAAACAATTCAAGTAACTCAGCACATTTCATCATATTGCATCTTCATATTAACTCATTAATTTGCAAAATTCTTGACCACTGTAAAGATCCATGTGACTAGTAATTAGCTGAATGTGTCTGTGAAGATTTTTCATTAGTCATTTTTTAACATTCCTGACCTAATTCAATCTTTTCAGACATAGAGCACTTTCCTTTAAACCCATTTACATGAAGATTTATATTGCCTCAAAAGTAAATAAATTACTCCAGAGCTGGCCAGCTAGCTCAGTTAGTTACAGCAAGGCCTCATAACACCAAGGTCATGGGTTCAGATGCCCATACTGGGCAGCCACCAAAAAAAAACATTATTTCATGTTAAAAAGCATACTTTTAGCCCAAGTTTTAGAAGTAGAGCTACTCCTTTACAGAGTGCTACCATGTTCTAGAGACTGTTAGAATGGATACATGCATATACAAATACAAACAATTTTTCCCTCATTTTATTTTTGCCATAAATTTTTTGGGGGTTGGGGGGGACTGGCTGGTACGGGAGTTCAAACTCTTTACCTTGGTGTTATCACCACACTCTAACCAAGTGAGCTAACCAGTACTATAACCTTATAAGAGAGGTACTATAACCTTATAACCTCCCATTTTACAGGTGAAGAAACTGAGACTCAGAGAAACAGTTAGCTTAACACCTTATAGCTTATAACAGAGTCAAGATTGAAATGCAGGTCTGTATCACTACAAAAGCTCCCAGTCTGCTACTGGCTCTTAAACTTTAGTGTGCATCAGAATCGTCTAGAGGGCTTATTAAAACAGACTAAAAGGCCCATCCCCTGAGTTTTGTTTTGTTTTGTTTTGTTTTGTTTATGAAGAAAAAGAAAATTTTATTAAGAGAAGTAAAAGCAAATCTGAATAAATGGAGGGCTACAACACATTTCTAGATAGGAAGACTCAATATTGTGAAGATGTCAGTTCTCCTCAAATTCATCTGTAAATTCAGGATCAAAATTCAAATGACAATTTTATAGAAACTGAGAAGCTAGTCTTCATTTATCTAGAAAAGAAAGTGAACAAAAATAATCAGTAGAATTTTGAAAAAGTAAAACAATCATCCCCTGAGTTTCTGATGCAATAGGTCTGGGATAGGGCCTGAGAATTTTCATTTCTAGCAAGTTCCCAGGTGATGCAGATGGTGTTGGTCTGGGTTCTACTCTTAGAGAATTACTTTGCTGTACTCTTCTATGACTTTTCTTTTCTCTCTAAGAATTACCTAAAGGTCTTGTTCTGTGGCTTCCATGTATGGTGCAGATTATTTTTGAACCATAAATATACATTTGAACTAATAAAAGGCAGAAGCCTAATAAATAGTCTGGACAGATTCATACTTTGCCCTTATCCTCTCCCATCTTGATCAAAATGTTAATACACTTAGAGTAAGAGTTGACTCTAGATTGTAGGCTACTAGTTCACTGTCACATAAGGAGTTGATTTTATTAGGAAAATATACCTCATGTCCTGTTATCATTTAATTAACTTGGTGATGGTGAAGGGGAAATTCCACTTAACAGAAGGCAAATGGAATAGTCATTCTGCTACTGAAGTGATCAACCCAGGAGGAAGTATAATCTGAAAAATAATCATTTAAAGGAAAAATCACAAAGATCACATATGACACGAGGTCAGGGAACACCCATGACGGGAAGGGTGGTGTGTTAATAAAATACTGTTTCAATACCTGAGCTTCCCCAATGTCTTACCTCATCCAGGGTAATCCATCTCTGCTACCAAGTAGCTAAATTCACACATGTAATCTGATTCCTCAGTTGCTGAAGAGCCATCCTTTTGAATCCATACATATTACCAGCTTTGTTTACATGTTAACAGCCTGTAGATTGTAGGCACCTCAGTGGCACTACCTTCCCCCAGATTCCAAGCCCAGGGGTGAGAACATAGCTGCTACTGAGAATCTCATGTTGATAAGTCAGTTCTCCGGGCATCAGATCCCTCATGTAGAAAATCGAGAATTTAGATTCCAAGTCCGTGGGTTAAAGATAAAGAATACACTATTTGTTTCAGTACTAGAAAACAGAAAGGTGTCTAGTTGCTTTCTTAAGATTTTTTTTTTTTTAATTTTGGCAGCTGGCCAGTATGGCTTTTTTAAGATTTAGATAATCATCAGTTTAGATTCCAAGTCCGTGGGTTAAAGATAAAGAATACACTATTTGTTTCAGTACTAGAAAACAGAAAGGTGTCTGGTTGCTTTCTTAAGATTTTTTTTTTTTAATTTTGGCAGCTGGCCAGTATGGCTTTTTTAAGATTTAGATAATCATCAATAATTTACCAAGTACTTATGTCTCAAAAATAGACCCTATATAAAATAGGCCAGGCACTGCTACACAAAAACTTAACAGCCAAAATTAAATCACAACCGAGAAAGGTAGAGATGATATAAACCGGGAAATATGAAAATCAGATAAACAGGTTTAGACCATTTCTCCAGGAAAATGTAAATACATCTCTAAGTTTCTTACAGTGTTAGCTGGTACAGGACCCCAGAGGGCTCCACAGTAAGAGTCTATGCCATAAATAGTCAAAGAGTAAATATTGAATACATCTGTTAGATTATAAGACAAGGGCATATGTGTGCAGCAAGTCTCAAAGAAGAATCTGCAAAAATCTCACACTTTAATGGAAATTTGATTAACTAGATAAAGACATTCCTAAACTTTCTGAAAGTTCTAGTGTAAATGGCTCTTCCCATTATAAAATACATGTGTGACTGAGAAGAGCAATAATTCTTGCAAATTTATGCTGTGGTGGGGATAGAGAGGATGTTAGGGGTTAATAAAAGAGGTCTGAGAAACCACATGCTGGAGAATTGTCTGATTTTTGTTTGGAAGCCAAGGCACAACACAGCCACTTAAACAAAAATAGCTTAAGAGATTTCCAGCTGAGCTTTGAAGAATTAGTTCCCTAAACATCTAGCCTGGAGTTATGGATCACTGCAGGGCCTTTCTGAAGTTAACAAGTGAAATGCTCACTCTCTTCTACTATAACTTAGTTTTCTTTCAAATAAACTTAAAATGTGTTCATTTCACTTCTTTCTTTGCTGTCCCTGCCCATAATAATTTTTCTCTTTGTTCTTACAGGCAGACAGCGCCATCCAGCCTGGGGTCACAAGTACAATTAAATGTGGAGATCCTCTGCCAAGAGCTTACAGCTAATATAATGAAATTAGAAAAGGTGACCTATTTCTTTCCTGTGTAGGGGGGGCAATCACGGCAGTGACTATCGATTGCTGTGGGTCAGGAATTACACATGCAAATGCTTTCAGTGTGCGGCAGACAACCCAAATGGCCAAACTCAGCAGGGGGGGTTGCATAGTAAATATGGAAGAATATTTTTTTATTTCTACAAAGAAAAAGGTTTTAATCTCATTTTCTTTGAAATACATGGTCTTGTGGGTCTGCTTTTTGCTTTTCCTCCTTGATTATACATATGTCTCTGTACCATGCTGCCCAATGGTAAATGTCTTCTGGCACTGGGGCTCAGTGTAGGGACACAGTAGGGGAGTAAACTGGAAACCATTGGCCCTACTAGAGAATGCAACCTCACCTCTACCCTGGCTGATTGTTGCCAAACAGAAAATACTGTATTCAATCCCTATTACAACCCTGGCAGATAGGTGTCAATCTATCTGATTGACAGGGAAGATAGGGAAGAATCAAGGTTTTAAATTAGTTTGCTCAAGATGATACACCTAGAAAGTTGGCAGACCTGGGATTTGAACCTATCTGTCTGACTACAATGTTGTGCTTAGAGGCTGTATTAGTCCATTTCTGGTGCTTATAACAAAATACCTGGAACTGGGTATTTTATAAAGAAAACGAAATTTATTACTTACAGTTTCATAGGCTAGGAAGTCCAAAGTCCAGGGACACAGCTGGTGAAGGCTTTCTTTGGTGATGACTTCAGTGATGGCAGGGTATCACACTGCAGAAAGGTAGAGCAGAGACTAATTTCATTCACTCTCTTTTTAAAGCCCTCAGAACCACGCCCATGACCACCATTTCTAATCCGTTCATTATGGCATGGTCCTACAATCTAATCGCCTCTCAAGGACCTACCTTCCAATTACCAGAATAAGATTTCCCACCCTCTTAACAGTCACAGTGGGGGCCAAGTTTCTAATACATAAAACTNGAGAATCTCATGTTGATAAGTCAGTTCTCCGGGCATCAGATCCCTCATGTAGAAAATCGAGAATTTAGATTCCAAGTCCGTGGGTTAAAGATAAAGAATACACTATTTGTTTCAGTACTAGAAAACAGAAAGGTGTCTAGTTGCTTTCTTAAGATTTTTTTTTTTTTAATTTTGGCAGCTGGCCAGTATGGCTTTTTTAAGATTTAGATAATCATCAATAATTTACCAAGTACTTATGTCTCAAAAATAGACCCTATATAAAATAGGCCAGGCACTGCTACACAAAAACTTAACAGCCAAAATTAAATCACAACCGAGAAAGGTAGAGATGATATAAACCGGGAAATATGAAAATCAGATAAACAGGTTTAGACCATTTCTCCAGGAAAATGTAAATACATCTCTAAGTTTCTTACAGTGTTAGCTGGTACAGGACCCCAGAGGGCTCCACAGTAAGAGTCTATGCCATAAATAGTCAAAGAGTAAATATTGAATACATCTGTTAGATTATAAGACAAGGGCATATGTGTGCAGCAAGTCTCAAAGAAGAATCTGCAAAAATCTCACACTTTAATGGAAATTTGATTAACTAGATAAAGACATTCCTAAACTTTCTGAAAGTTCTAGTGTAAATGGCTCTTCCCATTATAAAATACATGTGTGACTGAGAAGAGCAATAATTCTTGCAAATTTATGCTGTGGTGGGGATAGAGAGGATGTTAGGGGTTAATAAAAGAGGTCTGAGAAACCACATGCTGGAGAATTGTCTGATTTTTGTTTGGAAGCCAAGGCACAACACAGCCACTTAAACAAAAATAGCTTAAGAGATTTCCAGCTGAGCTTTGAAGAATTAGTTCCCTAAACATCTAGCCTGGAGTTATGGATCACTGCAGGGCCTTTCTGAAGTTAACAAGTGAAATGCTCACTCTCTTCTACTATAACTTAGTTTTCTTTCAAATAAACTTAAAATGTGTTCATTTCACTTCTTTCTTTGCTGTCCCTGCCCATAATAATTTTTCTCTTTGTTCTTACAGGCAGACAGCGCCATCCAGCCTGGGGTCACAAGTACAATTAAATGTGGAGATCCTCTGCCAAGAGCTTACAGCTAATATAATGAAATTAGAAAAGGTGACCTATTTCTTTCCTGTGTAGGGGGGGCAATCACGGCAGTGACTATCGATTGCTGTGGGTCAGGAATTACACATGCAAATGCTTTCAGTGTGCGGCAGACAACCCAAATGGCCAAACTCAGCAGGGGGGGTTGCATAGTAAATATGGAAGAATATTTTTTTATTTCTACAAAGAAAAAGGTTTTAATCTCATTTTCTTTGAAATACATGGTCTTGTGGGTCTGCTTTTTGCTTTTCCTCCTTGATTATACATATGTCTCTGTACCATGCTGCCCAATGGTAAATGTCTTCTGGCACTGGGGCTCAGTGTAGGGACACAGTAGGGGAGTAAACTGGAAACCATTGGCCCTACTAGAGAATGCAACCTCACCTCTACCCTGGCTGATTGTTGCCAAACAGAAAATACTGTATTCAATCCCTATTACAACCCTGGCAGATAGGTGTCAATCTATCTGATTGACAGGGAAGATAGGGAAGAATCAAGGTTTTAAATTAGTTTGCTCAAGATGATACACCTAGAAAGTTGGCAGACCTGGGATTTGAACCTATCTGTCTGACTACAATGTTGTGCTTAGAGGCTGTATTAGTCCATTTCTGGTGCTTATAACAAAATACCTGGAACTGGGTATTTTATAAAGAAAACGAAATTTATTACTTACAGTTTCATAGGCTAGGAAGTCCAAAGTCCAGGGACACAGCTGGTGAAGGCTTTCTTTGGTGATGACTTCAGTGATGGCAGGGTATCACACTGCAGAAAGGTAGAGCAGAGACTAATTTCATTCACTCTCTTTTTAAAGCCCTCAGAACCACGCCCATGACCACCATTTCTAATCCGTTCATTATGGCATGGTCCTACAATCTAATCGCCTCTCAAGGACCTACCTTCCAATTACCAGAATAAGATTTCCCACCCTCTTAACAGTCACAGTGGGGGCCAAGTTTCTAATACATAAAACTTGGAGGACACAGTTCAAGCTTTAGTGAGTTTAGGGGAGACACAGTTCAATCCACTACAGAAGCCTTCTGCTTTACTGCTTCTCAAAACCCAGCCTTAGGCCTGTTGATAATGCCACTGATGGTCAAGATGTAGATTTTCCTACAGGGCAAATCTAGAGCAAATGTGTTCTTAGCTTGTGGCATTCTTAGAAGTCGGTAGGAGGGTGAACAAGAAGAAAAAGATAGGCTCACCAGAATATCCCAGAAGGTAAACCTTCATCAACATGTCTTACTTTCTGCTTTCGACATTTCTATCCTTTTCCATCTGATAACAACTTTGTTTTTACCCCAATCCTTAAGGCAAGATTCAGAGTGAAGAATCAAGTGTTCAGTTAGAACTGCTATGCCAAATGCCCAGTATTTGGTAACTTTACATAATAGTGCAATCACACTTACTTGGGAAGAAATATGAAATACAAATGAGTAAAATTGTCTTTGTTTTCCTACACTAAACGTTATTAAGCCTTTAAAAATGAAAGTATTGAGAGCAAAGGAGTTTCCAAACTTCTGTTCTAAACCAAATCAGGACAGGACAAATTATTCACATTGAATCATTGTATCCATGAGCAAGCTTGGAAACGTTTTCTCTTTTACGTCCAATATCAACCTACAGAAGGTATTGTTGGTTACCCAAATTTTTCTTTCTAACACATTAGGTTCTGAGAATTGAAAATTAACAATTGTGTGTATGTGTGTGTAAAAAAAAAAAATGTTTACCAATGTCTGGCTTTCTTGTGGACCTAGAGAATGAGGTGGTATTAATTTTCAATTTTGTTCACTCTGACATAAAAATGATATTCTTTGGATTGGAAAAACATGGAATCCTGCTGCCTCCTTTTGTGTTTCTTCTCACTCTCCTGCCAGGCCTGGCCAGGACACCACATTCTGTAACAAGGGAACAGAAAACAGAAGGGCTTGTTCACAGCAGGCCAACAGTTGGCATGTCTTGTGTGGGGCTTTGGACAGAGTCCAGCTGGGAGGCTAGGGAGGCCTACAGTTGTCCCCGTGGAGACCACCTTAGTCCCAAAACAGAATCACTGAAAAGTAGATTTGTGGTCAAAATGCACATCTTAACGTAACAAGTTGTAAGTTGCACACTTTGATAAAAGGAGTCGAAGTATTGAAAAAAGAGTTCCCAGGCCACACCCCTGTTCCTTCTGATTGGTACACGCCCCTCTGGCAGTAACCAGCACAGCCTGCGGGTGAAACACGGCTACGTGCCTTGGAAAAGTCTGAGACCTGGCCCAGCTTTTTTACTCAATACCAGCAATTCCTTTCTACTCTCCTTCAGGGACTGGGCATGTCTGAGCCTCATGATCTTCTGCTCTGACTTCCCTATCTCTCTTCATGGCATCACTGCCCTTTCAGCCATCCTCATTGGAAATCAAAGAATAATTTTTAACTCCTTCCTCTTTTTTACTTGCCATTGATTAACTAATTAGCTGGCAAGTCCTGTGAAGAATGTCTTCAGGTGTCTCTTCAAGTTGTCTTTCCTTTGGCACTATCCTAGTCCATTTAGGCTTCCCACTACCAGTCTGACAGTGTGAAACTGGATCTCATTATGGTTTTTATTTGTATTTTCCTGATCACTACTGAAGGTGAACATCTCATGTATTTATTGGCCATTTGTGTTTTCTCCTATAAATTGCCTATTTTTAAACCTATTTTAAACCTTTGTTTTACCTTTGGGTTTTTTTGTCTTTGTAGGCATGTTTTGTGTATTTTGGATATTGGTCCTTTGTTTCATTTCTTTTTCTACCTTCCCACTCCTGGTTTCCATTTTTCCTTGGTCCTGAGGGATAGTTGGGGAAGACAGGAAGCAGGAATGTGGGAAGAGAAGGCAATGCCTTTTACAGGTAAAGAAGTAAATGATTATTTTCTTAGTACTGAAAGTGGCGCTAATGGTGGAGCAGTATGATAGAAAGAGCATGAATTTTGGAGTCAGACCTTTGTTTTTCGCCTACTCTGTCACTGACTTCCTGTGTAGCTGGTCATGCTGCCTAGCCTCTGGCCCTCAGTTCCATGTGTAAACCTGCCTGTGTGGGTGTGGTGTGGCTGAGGTGAGATGTGTCAGGTTCCTGGCACATACGTATTGGATCCCCTTCATGTGCACTCACCCTGAGTACACCTGCAGGACGGCACAGACTGTCCCTCCAGGAAGAATGCATCCCCTTTCTTTTGATTCGCAGGGTTCCCTACTCTCACCATAGTTTTGGTTGTTGAGAATTCCATGCTCTGAAATCCTTAAAGTTTATCTAAGAAACATTTACTGAGAACATTTTTATACTCAGCACTTGACTGTAGTCTTAAAATCCAAACATATTATATGGTTGATCCCTGTCGCTGTAATATTCACAATCTTCTTGGAAGTGTTGCGTAGTTTCTAACAGGAGTGTTAAGCATTATTACATGGCATCTGTCTGATTAAAACCATCAAATGGGTTCTATAAAGACCAGTTTCCCATTGTCTCTGTGCATTTTGGTCACACCTGATGTTGTCAGTTTTTCTTTTACTTCTGATTTCTCTCAACCTCTACTGACATTTTCATCTTTGTGCCACTCCTTTTTTTTATCCCTATCTTCTTTCATTTTAAAGGGGATTGTTAGAGTTCTAGTCCATGAAAAATCATTTATTTGCCTCATCTAAATTAAACCCGTGTAGCTTTTCAAGGTAGAATAGATTCACCTCAAGCATTATATAGGCCATAGCAATATGCCCTTCATATAGTCCTTATTTTTAATAATAGGAGCTTCTCTTTTATTATTTCAAGATACAAAACAACTTACAAAAGCTGCTTGAGAATGGTGACTGACCGACCAGATTGCTCGGGCCAACGTCATACCTCACGTTTCCCTTTGAAGAAGGTGCTCCCCGAGGCACCCTGGTAGAGCGCCCCCTGCTGGTCAGAGGCGCGAGCGGATGAGAACCCAGACAAGTTTGCACTTGGAGGTCTCCAGCTCAGGAAAGAGGGGAAGGGGAATACTTTTGGTTCTTGTGCAATAATGGTTGACCTTGACTCTCTGAGAAAGTTTTTGCTGCTGCTGCCTGAAGTCAACAGACCCATTTCTGGAGGTTTCAGGAGGGGCCTGGCGGACGCTCTTGGATGACTGTGGTTCTGCGGTTATCGTGATGATGTCAGCAAACACTCCGTTCCACACCTTTTCAGTCTTGCCCACCCTCCTTTTCCTGCCTTACACCCCTTTTAACCAGCCTTTAAGCTAAGGGATATATCACAAAACTAACGAACTCAAATGGTCATTTAAAGAATTAGCCATGAGTCTTCAAAAAAGCAATAAATGGTTCTAAATGGACAGGCTTGCTTCAAACAAATAACACCTACATTTTGTCGCCCCCCCCCCCCCCCCACTGTTATGTTCTGGTTTAAATTATCTGCATATCTCAGTTCAATTTCGACAAGAATATCAGGCAAAGTAGAAGAAACCACCCCGTTTATGTTTCGCTTTGTTTTGTTTTGATCCTGTAATCGATACATAATTGGAGTGATTCTAACCCACCTCAGGTCAAGAATCTGTGAGGCATGGGACTGAAGTACTAAATTAAACTTACCTTAAAACCAAAACTAATCTTTAAACCAAAAGGCGTAATAGTGATTTAATACAGGATGAAAAACAGTGAATTTTTAAGATTATAGGTGGACTGTGTTAGCAGTTTGGAACAGGATGTCTGTATTGAATGCTGAACCCCAGTTCAGCATGACAATATTATGTTTTTCTCCTTTGCTGACTAAATTAAATAACTGGTGGTTTGTTAACTTTATTTACCATATGGGTTGGTTGGTTTTTATTAATAATTATTTAGGGTACCATAAGAACGATAAGTATAAAAGATATTCTGTTTCTATCTGTAATGCATTTTATAATCATTTCTATGAAATGTATTTTGTTTAATCAGATAAGCTAATAAGTAAATTGGTTACATCGTTTGTATTTGTTAGCCCACTGGACAACACCTGTGCCTGGTGCACCACTGGCTTTTAATAAATACTAATTGGTTAAAATACCCTGCTAACACTGTTTTGTCAGTTTGTAAATTCTTTTAACTAGGATTTACTATGCTTTTTAACTCTTTTTCTACCTCCTATCTACTACTTCAACTCACTTCATACTTCCTTCCCCTCAAGTATTCATGTCAGAACTCAAAGACGATTTAAGTTCTTGAGTTACAGTGGTATAAACTTTGAAAACTTCAAAATCAGGAAATCAATGCTTGATTCCTGGGTCCACATTTTTTGAGTTGTGGGGCCTTAGGCAAAATATTTGGCCATTTCCCCCCAATTTTATGGAGGAGGCTGAAAGTGCCAGTGAAAGTGTCAGTGTGAGGATTAAATGTGATAAAGTCACATTATCATAGCCTTGTCAGGCAGGTAATATACTATTATAACAGGTACCATATTCATTATTTTTTTTTTTCTTTAAAGATGACCGGTAAGGGGATCTTAACCCTTGGCTTGGTGTTGTCAGCACCACGCTCAGCCAGTGAGCAAACCGGCCATCCCTATATGGGATCCGAACCCGTGGCCTTGGTGTTATCAGCACCGCACTCTCCTGTGGGAGTGAGCCACAGGCCAGCCCCATATTCATTATTTTTACAAATATTTTCACATCTGATATTCCAGTTTTATAAAAGTTCAATGTCAATGCTTTATATTCAGAACCCATTAGAGATTTAAGAGTGGGTCAGCCACCCTTGGAGGACAGTTTTACAACTGTATGAATAGCCTTAGAAAGGTTCAAATTTCACTGAGTTAGCAATCTGCCCTCTAGGAATTTATCCTGTAGCAATAAGATGTAGTCAAAGTTTTATATACAGGAATAATCTTTGGGGGCTTCTGACAGAAAAGCAATAAAAAGTATAAATATTCAATAGCAGAACAGTTAAATGATGTAGTTATTTAGAATTGTATCTCAAAGACAGGCATAGAAAATATAATTAAAAATTGCATTAAAAGGGCAGGCATAAAACTATGTGGTATGATTCCAGTTTTATAAAGAAAATCCTACATATGTTTGTGTGTGTATACACATACATACATACATACATACACATGAAAGCACACACACACTT